CTGGTTGGTGAGGTTTGTACCACTGTGTTTCATTTCGCAGTGATCTTGTTTGTATAGTACCGGTGTACTTGCATTTTATTATGTCCATTGTAACTTCAGGTACAAAGGCAAAGGTATAGAAGGAGTTATATATTTAAATTTGTATTTTTTGATTCTCAAAAAATGGGAATTGTTTTAGTTTGATTTATTCTTGAATGTGTAAGCATCTTAAAATACAGTTCATAGTATTTAATTTCTAAGGGTCTACATAATCAGTATAGATGATTTCTATATGGTTATAGAAATGTTTAATTCTAAATGTCTGTACAATTAGCTTGTGTAAACAGACAATGCAGGGCAATCTCCAGAAGGGAACGACCAGCTGTGTAGCTAGGTACCAGTTAGCTGAATTCCTATTTTTCAGCAGCAGAGAATACTGACATGATACTAATAATACTAATAATGGCACTTAAAGAGAACATATGTAGGATTCCATTTTGGGGGAGCTCTATAAATGCCTCTCACATAATTCAAGTAGAATAGCTAAATCTTAAAAATATTCTAGTTTTTATTTATGCTGTCTTGATAATAAAATACTAATAATTAACAAAGTTTATTAGCCGTTCCTGGGCTAAGTTTGGCAAAGGTCTTTTAAAAAGCTACCCAAAACATTAATTTAAATATCTCTTTGGACAGAGAATTTGATTATGAAAAATTTTCCTTTTAGATCATGTCACAGAGTTAGAAAGAATGAAGTTTAACAAGATGTCTCTGAATGTGAGGTTTAATTGTTCTCAGGGCCACCCTGGCCAGTGGTCATTCCCATTGTAGGCTTAGCAATAGTGACCAGCCTTTGTTCAGTAGTGTGTCAGAATTTATCTATCTAACACTTATTTATATGCCACCATTATGCTAGTCACTGGGGGTATAGAACAGTAGGGCCATCGAGTCACATATTACCAAGGTAATTTTACATCCTAGTAAGTTCTGAAAAGAAAGAAACAGGTGGTAGAAGAGGAGGACTTGGCGGCGGGTGGGTACTTTATTCGGGTTGGGCTGGAGAGGTGTATCTGGTAAGGGAAAGCTGGAAAGTGAAAAGGAATTGTCATTGGGAGAGCTTGGGATGAACTTTTAGGCTGTGGATCAGCAAGTGAACACTGTCGGAGGGCCGGCAGAAGGCCAGTGGAGCTAGTGAAGGAGGAGAGGTTCTGGCAAGAGGTTGGAGAGGGAGGCAACAGCCAGATGACCTTGTGGGCACTGGAAGAGTTTGGGTATTATTACTATTTTTTTAAGATTTCATTTATTTATTTGACAGAGAGAGAGAGATCATAAGTAGGCAGACAGGCAGGCAGAGGGAGAGGGAGAAGCAGCTTCCTGCTGAGCAGGGAGCCCGATGTTGGGCTCGATCCCAGGACACTGGGATCCTGACATGAGCCGAAGGCAGATGCTTAACCGACTGAGCCACCCAGGTGCCCCGAGTTTGGGTATTATTTTGAGTGCAGTGAAGTGACACACAATTGGATTTCTCTTGTTAAGTTGATTCCTCCAGCTGTCCTGTGGGCAGTGGTTCGAAGTGGGGGAAGAAAGGATGCAGACTAGAAGCAAGTACACTCATTAGGAGGCTATTTCAAATACAGGCCAGGTTAGAGATGCCTTGGAGTCTAGTGGAGAGGGAGCATCGAGATGATGCTCTGATTTGGCTTATATTTTGAAGGGGGAACCTGGAGGACCTGTTGATGGAGTGGATGTCCGGTGAAGGAAATGGATTAATCAAAATTGTCTCCTTTTTGATCTGATCCTTTGGATGGATTATAGAGATCAAGATGCCCTGGGGAGGAACAGGTTTAGTGGGAGATACTTAGTAGAGATCTGAGTGCAGGTGTTGAGTGTGTAGCTTGGAGAGGTGATGGGGGAAGGTCTGGCATGGATATTAACTTGGACATTGTTGCCATATTGGTGTTACTTAGAGCCACAGGGTTGGATGAGACCACTCAGGGAGAATGAGTATAAATAAGAGAAGTGCACTCAGCATCAAGTCCTGGGATGTGCCAGCCATGTAGAGGTTAGCCAGATGTGAAGGAAGAAGCCAGAGAGACTGAGTCTCAGAATTTGGGAAAAAGAAAAATCGGGAAGCCAAGTGAAGGGTTGTCGAGAAGGTGGTATCTCGAGAAGGTGGGTGTGGTCAGACTGATGATACTGAAAGGTCAGTAAAATGAGGAAAGAGGGGTAGCCATTGGATTTGCTGAAATGGCAGCATGGTAGTGTAGAGTGGAGCTTGGTTCTGGAGCCATACTGCCGTGCTCCGCCAACAGTGTTGTAATCTTGGCTGACTTACCTAACCTTGTTAAGTTCCAGTTTCTCCTGGAAGTCAGGTGTGATAACAGCATCCATTATCGGGCAGATTAAATGAGTCAGTACACAAAATGCACTTAGAACAGTGTCTGGCCTAGATTAATCATAGCTGTTAGCCATTACTGTCGTAGTGGTCTTTGGTGACCCTGGAGAGAGTGAATTCCCTACCTCTGGATTTACCTTGCTGTGGTAACACCTCCCTGCCTCTCTTCACCCCACTCCACAGACATACAGCACACCTCAGGGGAAGGGTCTGACTTCGAGAATCGTGGTTCAGCAAGCAAGTGGTTCCCACCGAAGGCATTCGTTCTGTCTGAGATTCCATTCTGGAAATGTTCATGTTTGGTGGATGCTAAAGTCATGTATAAATCCTATCTTGAAATTTAATCTTTCTTTTTGATTGATACAGTAGAAAAAGTATACCACAGTATAGTGAAAAAAAAGCATAGGTTTTATAGTCAAACAAACTTGGGTTTGTTTCTCAGCTCTACTACTTATTATCTGTGTGTCTTTGGACAAGTTACATCTTTACCTAGCCACCTGTAAGTTTGAGTTGATTATATACTACCCACCTTTCCAGGTTTTAAGTAGTTTAGGCCATTGTCTGCAAAGGGCCTGTCATGGTTTGTGGCACAGGGTAGGCTTTCCATGAAAGATCGCTCTTATCGATCATCTTTGGTCTTTCCTGAATGCAGATCAGTTTTCAGTATTTTCTATTTCTTTTGATAGAACTGTCATGTTGTTTTACATCCAATAAAAATGTTCCCAAAGAATTTCAGTGTGCAAAGGTTTTAGGACCTCAGAAACCTTGTTCTGGGGGAATGGGTTTGCCTTCAGTGGCACTCCTGGCCAGTGCCCGGGAGGATTTGTCTGTCACCACTGCCTTTGTCTTATTAAGATCTCATCTTCCTGGGAGCTGTTTTTCGAGAGGTGCATGTGGTGATCTTCCTGGCTTTAGGAATTTCAAGAGGATTGTTTGCTTCCTGGAAGAATTGTCATTAAGGGAGACTGTTGGAAACCAGCAGGAACATGAGAAGAGGTCAACTTTTGGCCACACAGAGGACTGTGTTTTTGACTCCAGATACTTCCTGGTTTGGTTTGGCTTAAGACTATTATCTTGTGGGTTTTTTTTTTTTTTTTTTTTTTTCTTTCTTTCTTAGTATTGCCCCTTTTTAAAATTTGTCTTATTTGCTGTTAGAATCCAGTAGTACCGAAGATAGGGATCGTAACTGAGCCTAACCCAATGCCCACATGTGGTGGGCACTTGAGAGATTATTTGAAAGAGAGAAAATAATGAACTGCCTTAATCATTGCCTTTTCTGTTCCTCTTTGGTCTGAGTGTGCAATTGTATAAAAGAAAGCAGCACAAAAGTTTTAAAAACTTAAAAAGTGTGTTCTAAATAGCTCTCTCCAAATGCTTTTTCTTTTTTTCATTTTTTCGGGTTTATTGGACAGTTGATGTTGATTTAAAATGTATATGATTTTCACCTAGTACATTTTGAAAAATGAAAGTAATTACAAATATTGTTTCAAAAGGGTGTTTTAAAGAAAAAAAAAAATAAAGTAGGAAAAGAGCACCCAAGAAATATATGAGATGGAAGATACAAACCAAAGACAAATGACTCTGCCTCCCACTTACCGTCAAGGTTCATTTGGATAGATATATACCGGGTCGGGGAAAGTGCTAGATAAAAATAGTGTTTTAAGCCCAGTGGAAATCTTTCATTCCTGGAAAAATACAGGATATATATATTTAAATCTTTTAACAATATAATTTATCAATAAATTTTATTTCCTACAGGTATAATGTGAATACAGATTTTTATTGGTTTTAAAAAGTTTATATTAAATTGACAGTCCTATGAGGGAAGGATATAATATTATGTCTTGGTTTTTCTCAAAGTGTACGGTTTACAAAGTCCTACATAAATAGCTTACAGGAATTGTGTTCTAATTATTTAGAAATTGAGTTATTAAATACGTTTAAAATTCATATGTCAGATAGCACATCATATCTGGTTGAGGGGCCTCAAGGAAATTATCAAGCAAAATGCAGTCATCTTATTTAAAATGCATTTAAATGTATGAATAGACCCAGAAGCAAATAACCTAGCAAGATACCTGCTTAGTGTCCAGCAGCCTTGCAGGAGTTAACGGTAAAATTTATCAGACATCAATAGTTTATTGAAGAAATACTCCTTTTTGCTTCATAATTTGCAGAAGGCTACAACTGTCAGTCATGATGTACTGCCTCTTGAAATTAGTCAATAGAGCAAACAGCAAGAATTGCTGTGGGCAGAAAATAAACACTGTAATCATGACATAACTGGGGTCAGTGATTTATGGATTTCAATATAGTAGTAGCTGCATATGATTGAAAATTTACTAGGTCACTAGTGCACCAAAAATTTTATTCACAGCCTCCAGGCATCTTTTGAAATGTGCAACAAAATAAAAACCTCTGAACCTGTTTTGACACTGCAGACTCAGTGGATGACATGCCAGCCCAGTGAGTCTCATTTGAATGTAAATGTGTCATAAACGTTTATACCATACTTTTTAAAAACATCAACTATTCGAAGGGATGATGCATGTGAAGCTGACTTACATACTGAAGTAGTAAGAAAGGACCTTTTTATAATCAAGCTTTAAATTCTTTTATTTTAAAGTTGGAAGCTGAAGCCGTTCCTGAAGTATCTGAAAAATATGAAATTAGTTCTGTTCCCACCTTTCTGTTTTTCAAGGTAAGGATAAAGATGGCACAAGAGATCCTGCTTCTGTCGTGGGCCATGGGGCTCTGTCTTGGTTCCTTTACCCTCTCCCCTGATCCCTGAACACTTGGCACTGGTTGTTCCTGGCTTTGCCCTGTCTTCTCATAGTCTCCTTGTTTGCACTGATGCCGAAGCTTGGCCTGGGGTTCCTGCAGAAGTGTCATGGGCAGTCAGAGTTGGGGCTTCTAGACAACAATCCGGATACTTGGCTATAGACCCAAAATGTTCCCTGAGTTGGGTCAAAGTTGGTTGCTTAGGGCATGTGCCTGGGCGTAATGGAACATCTGGCTGGTCCTGGTTTGATTAATGACTCTCTTAGGAAGCAGGTGCAGATCTGTGCTTTAGGGCACCCCTGAGTGTTACCACAGTTCCCCCCCAATACCGCATTTATACTTAGTAATAGATTCATCCCCATGAGGGTGGGGAAATCTTTTCTGTTTTTGGTTAGACTCTGATCTGGTTTGAGTTTGAGGTATTGTGATGTTTTCCTAGTATGTTCCCAAAAAGGGAAAAAAAGAAGACAATTACGTATTTCTAAAATTAAGATGCATCTGGCAATTGGTAATCAGGTTTTTAAAAACATATAATAGTGTTGACCCCTTTAAAAATTGGCTAGAGCTATGAGTTCATACTTGTTAAAATTTTGGATCTTAAAAGGGATGATGAAAGAATGCCACACATATTCTAAACGACTTTTTTAACTTCAGAATTCTCAGAAAATTGACCGATTAGATGGTGCACATGCCCCAGAGTTGACCAAAAAAGTTCAGCGCCATGCATCTAGCGGCTCCTTCCCACCCAGTGGTAACGAGCATCCTAAAGAAGATCTCAACCTTCGCCTGAAGAAATTAACTCATGCCGCCCCTTGCATGTTGTTTATGAAAGGAACTCCTCAGGAGCCGCGCTGCGGTAAGAAGCTGCTTTCACAAGGACGCAGACAGAACGGGTGCTTGACCAGTGTGGGGTGCGGCTAGGTGCCCATCTCTGTTCCTGCTGTCCGTTCCTCTTACACTTGTGTTGAGATACCTTTAGAAAATCAGGAAGGTCCTAAGTCCCACTGGCATTCTGTCGTGAGGTGATGAGAATTAGGTTGCGCCACACACACAGAGAATGTTGGAACCCAGAGGCATCTTAGAAATCATCTGATTGAAGATTTTTGTTTTATATACCTAAGTACCCAAAGAGGGGGAGTTTGCTCAGGTCACCTCGGAGTGTAGTTGGGATTAGGTTCCAGCCATCACATTGCTGTCACCTGAATGGGCTTTTGTCTGCTCATTTTGCTATTAACAGTTTCCTGTCTTTCTTGGCAGTCTCTCTTGATTCATGTAGTCCAGATTCAACAGTTTAAAAATTTACAGAATTTTGGTGGCATTCCTGTGTCTCCCCCTGTGCTTTTGCCTTCCTTCTTGTCCCAACGTTGAATTATGTGACTGCAGTGTTCACCTATTGTTTATAGGTGCTAATAATTGAAAGATTCTGAATTCTGTGGCTTATAATCACTCTTATTTTCTGTACATATATGCTTGTAATTTTGTCCTTAAGTGAGTTTTAGAGTTTATTTGACCCCTCTGGTATTGGGTTTATGTTATTTTCTTTTTACTATGCCTAGTACAACATTATTATGCTTCATAATTGAGCATTTAATGCCCCTTGATGTTGCTGTTGAGAATCTGAGAGTATTTGTTTCAACTATACAGGAGGGAGTTTATTAAGATACGCAGCAGTAAAATGGAGTGTGCTATTGATATGATTACTGCATGTCCAGTGTGGCTTTATAAAAATAACCTAGCTTCCAGTGTAAATTTAATTGTAAATTCTTCCCTATATGGTTAACAAATTACATATTAGATTATGAAAGTCTAGTTTTAAAAATAAAGTTTCATGTTGAGTCCTGTCTTAAAAAGGTAAAGAAATGGTTCCTTTTTCTCTCAGTTCTACTTGAAAAATATCCTTGCTAGTATTTACATGTCAGATAATGCCTGCTGTTTGTATGTTGAAAAACTAACTTGGTCTCTACTGGAGTTAACCCCAGATAGCAACAGCCCATCTTTGTTGTGGTGGTTTGTTTTTAATAGTGGTTACGACTGGTTTACTTTCTCCCATCAGGCAGGAAAATCATTTCTGGTACTTTCTTTGGTGACCTGAGAAGAGGGACTTACAACATGAGTCTGATGGGTTTTATTCAGTGCCTTTCTTGCAATCTGAAGTGTGGGTGAACTGTTGTCAGATGTGGATGAACCTGTAGGAAGGGTTCTATGCAGTAAACCTACAGTAAAACCGACAGAATACTCTCTTCTTTGGGATGGAACAGGAGCATTCTCTCACTCCTTTCTGAATGGGAACCTAACAAGACTGGCAGGTGGTGAAAGTGCAGCTTGGGAAGGGGTGCTAAGGCAGCAGAGGGGGAGGTCGTGCACTGGGAAGCGTGGTAGCCCGATGTCACGGCAGATGAGCCGCATCCCAACACCACCTTATGCCCCTGCCCTGGGGATGTAGGTACAGGTGAGTGACTCTCCCTCTGCACCCAGTCCTTCCTTGGTGGTGTTGGGGTTAGAGTCCGACTTGGAGATCCTTTTCAGATCAGATGTTGTATGATTATTCAAGTAAGTTAGAATTACACTTAGAAATAGTCGTTTTCCTGCTTACCTTTTTATTAGACTTAATTTATAATATATTTCTAGCCATTTGTATGTTAACTGGCATTTAGAAGACTATAAGTAACAAGGTAGAATAAAAAAGAAGCTTTACAACATGCTAGAACAATCTGAAAAACACAGTATTATAGACATTTAGATAATAAAAGATATAATTAGGGAATTCAAAAGAGATTTTTAGATATATATGATTTAACAGTTACAGTTTCATTCCAAACAAGTACTTGTTTTATTCTTTGTAATTTTTTAAAAAGATTTTATCTGTTAGAGAGAGAGAGAGAGAGAGAGAGATTGAGTTGGGGGGAGGGGCAGAGGGAATCTCAAGCAGACCCCCCTGCTGAGCGCATAGCCCGACTCGGGGGCCTGATCCCACGACCCCAAGATCATGACCAGTGCCCAAATCGTGAGTCGGACACTCAACTGACTGAGCCACCCAGGTGCCCCTATTCTTTATGATTTTTAGAACTACATTTTTAACAGGCTTTTCTGTTTCCTGATATCTTGATTTCTGTAACAGCATGTCTTTCTGTCAGATACAATAAACATGTGACATATGGTGAATAGATTATTTTAGAATGTAGGTATTCTTTAAAAAAATACTTAAGGATCGAGTAGAAGGTATTTTGCTGTGGCTGTTCCCGGCCACTCGCTCCACTGCTGCGCCCCTGGCTCTGTTTCCCCTCCTCTGTGCCCTGCCGCACACACCGTCTGCATCTTTAAACTGTTCTCTCACATAGGCGCATACTTGACTTTCACCCACTTCCTTTCTGAGCTGCTTAGTGGGAAAGAGGTTTTGCTCTGTGTTGGCCCATCAGAGACGAGGTGTAGGCAAAGCCTCCTTTATAAAAGCCGTGACCGTTCGTGCTCCTGGACGCGACTGGCTGGTATTTCCGTGTTTTGTACAGAATTCCCTTGGAAGGCCGCTAGCAGCGCCCAGTGTTCCCCTTGGGCTCCCGTTGTGCAGTGGCGCTATGGTGGTTTTTGATTTTTGCAGTGGCCCCCACCTTGATGTCAATTAATCAAAAGCCATGAGTGAATAACATTACATTTTCTCTCAAGGAAACCCTGAAAGCCATTTCAGGGTCTGCCGTGGAGCCCGCTGGGTCTCAGCCCGACCCTTGCACGCTTCACACTCTGTCTTCGTCGCTTTCACTTTTGGGCTCTACCGGCAGAAGTGTGTCGTGTGTTATGAGCCTGACACGTTGATAGGGTGTCTGTCATCAAAGAATTAGATTATCCTTATTCTGTGTTCCTCAGGAGGACAGGAAAGAGGACTCTCATGTTTTAGGCAGATTTTCAAGAAGCACCGAGATGTCCATCTTTTTAAACAGAATGTTAAATCCTTGAACATGCAGGTTAATTAAGTTATTTGGGAATTCTTGTATCCGTTTCAGTTAACAAAGCTTTTAGCAAAGCAGGGTATTTGAACCGTGGGACAGACCTTTCTTCTGCAGTAAAAGTCTATCTTAGCAGGTTTTTCTTTTTAAATCAGACACAAGCATCGTTGGTTCATAAGTGGGCTTCAGGGTTTTATTGTGACTAGATAGTGATGAAATGGCCCAGTTAGGTGTACTATTCATGCCTCCTGTCATGAGTACAAACGACTGCAGACCGAAATGCTGGTTCTGTAGCAGCTAAACATGGTTTTTCCACTTGTAAATATTTTTATTGCATTCATGCACTTTTCTTAAAAAAAAAAAAATGTGTAAATATTGTGTTATTAGAAGGAAGCCTTCTCACTATTTTATCCTTAAGCATAACATTTCCAGTCTGCCACTTTAACCCTTAAAAACGAAACATTACCCATCAATCTTTCTAGCCTGCATGTAATTGCCTAAAGCTAAAGGAAAGCTTTTCCTCAGCCAGTTACAGTAGAAATGAGTTAATATATTGGCAGCAGAATAACCATCAGCAATCAGCCGTTAGCTGTTTACTAATGAACTCCCAGATGAATGAAAAAAATTTCAGAATCAGTGTTTTACTTCAGGCTGTACATGAACTTAACACTTGAGTTGTAGGAAAAGCAACTTATATGCTGTACAAATAAATACCAGTGCTTTATCTTAATAAACTGTAGATCTGAAAAATGTCTGGAGCTCAGTAATACATCCAGGTTTTAAGAGTAAAGGTGCTTTTGCATGGCATCAGGTGAAGCCTATTCTTGCAATTAATCTTATACTGAATTTTATGATTTGATTTGATTTCAAAATGCTGATGCTGTGAAATCCTGCAGGAATTTTGCACATAAAGAATAGGTCATTTTCCAGTGAATTATGACTGTGTTTGAAAAGAAGGATGGAATGTGAAAGTGGAGTGGTACAAAGTATTGAAAAACAATTGGGAAGAATTAGCTTATGGAAAGAAAAATATCCTCTTTTCAGACAAGACTAATAGATTTATAAAAGACTGATATTCACACTCTTATACTTCAGTACTAATGTCATAATCAGAAAATGATGTCAAAAAAGTACAGGACAAAAATGTGTCACAAAAGTATAATAAAATCATGGAACATAAGATTGTCACTACAGTGCAGTAAAAAAAATCACATTACATACTTTAGGGAATGTAAATAGTTTTAAAAAAGAGACTGTCAAGTTACGGTACCAGATGAGAAAGAACACTGTCAGTCTATTGACAGTGCCTATATAACAACAGAGAAGACAGCTTTGAAATTCAATGTACCAGTTTCAACTGAAAGAACACATTCCTCCTTGACTTTTAATTTATTCTACTAGAGATGGCGAAAGACGGAGAAGTGCTAGACCGAGCGCACAGACCTGATACAAGGCAATAGAAACCAAACAGTCGGGTTTCCAGTCTGCGTGCGCAAGGAGTGGCTAATGATGGCCGTTGTGGGGCTTTTCCTCCATCCAGTGGTGATTCTTAGAGATTCACAGACAGCAGAGCTGGGAGGGACTGTCTGGGGTATCCAGGTCAGTCCCCTGATTGATGGGGAAGTGCAGGGAGGGGAGGGGGCCTGTCCAGGGCTCAACTGTTCGTCTCCCTGCTGGATGGAGCAGGTGCCAGGGCTTTCTGGCCAGCATTGTTTCTCCTACAACAAAAAAATGTGCCTAATATTAAGAGGAACATTGATAAATATACACAGACTTTTTTAAACTCACAAGTGTGCTAAACGCTAAGCCATACTTGAACACGTGGTATAGTTCAACGTCAGATTAGGGGTTCTTGGAATTTGTTTTCTCTTTACATGCTGTATAGGTGTACTGATTAAGTCACGGTGAAACAGGCAGACTCTATGGTCAGTAGCTAATGTGTGCTGTGAAGGAATATGAAATCACGGGTATGAGAGAGAGAAGCTAAGTTCTTGATTTTCTTTTTCTTATGCAGGTTTCAGCAAGCAGATGGTGGAAATCCTTAACAAACATAATATTCAGTTTAGCAGTTTTGATATCTTCTCAGATGAAGAAGTTCGTCAGGGCCTCAAAACCTATTCCAACTGGCCCACCTATCCCCAGCTCTATGTTTCTGGAGAGCTCATAGGAGGACTTGATATAATTAAGGTTAGAACTGAGAAGTCTGTACCTTGTAAAGAATTTTCATTTAGAACACACTTTTCTAAGTACAGTAATGAATCTAGAGTATAAATTACTTAAGAATCTCTGCATTTACAAAAATGAACCTGGAATATAAAGTATTTCTGATGAGATGCTTGATACTCTGTAATACCATACAACCAAGGAGATGGATGTGAATGTTTTCTTAAACTTACACATGTGTTGATTTCAGGAGCTTGAAGCGTCTGATGAACTAGATACAATTTGCCCTAAAGCTCCCAAATTAGAGGAAAGGTAAGTGTTTTAAAAGTTTCAAATAGTCTACCATTTAGTACTTCAAAAATATTTAATTCTTGGTTTTTGCATTATTCTTTCCATATAGAAATCAGGGATTTGTTTTTGTGTGCCAAGGTCATAATTGTGTTGTTTGCAGTCAGATTAGCCATGCAAACTTGGGAAGGTCTCATTTGCACTGGGGAAATTTTTACACCAAATTAATGATTAGGTGGAGGGTATTCTTTGTTTTTATAGAAATATCATTTTATCATTTTCTCAGTGGCATGACTCAGTTTTACTCTTTCTCTGTGTTTCTGAGCCGGGATCCAGCAATCCTGGTCCTCAAGTAGCAGTCCCTGCTCGGCATTGTCAGAGCACTGAGCGTGAGGGGTGCCTCGTTTGAGGAGTGCAGGCTGTGTGTGTGGTATGTGTAAACACTTCGGGCTGTCACACTGCCTTTCTAATCATGGTAACTTAGAATTCAAGGAGATTTTGGAGCTGTAAATTGGTCTTTGTTTTACGTAGGATCTCAATCAGCTTTTAAAGATTTTATCTTATGGAAATTTTGGACTTTGGCCTGTAGGGAGGCTTAAAGGGATTTTTATTGTAATAAATTTGAATTAATGTAGAGGTTTAAAGAAGAATTTATTTTGAAATACATCAGCGTATCAGCCATTCGTAGTTGGGGCTTGAGTTCGTGAGGTGAAACTTTCTCTTGTAATTTTCTTGCTATTCAGCATTCTGAGAATTTCTAAAATTGTTTAATAATAAACACCTCATTTATCTGTCCTTGATTAATAAATAGTATCCCATATATGTCCAACTGACCTGTAAGTGCCACATTTTCTCCAATGATTTGTACCCTTTCCTGCCTTTTTGATAGGACAGTGATGCTCCTAGTCCCTTGTGACTCTGCGCTCCCAGTTGCGTTCTTGGGGGAGGGGCAGAGGGAGAGAGAATCTCACGCAGGCTGTGCACCGAATGAAGAGCCCGATGCGGGGCTCGATCTCACGACCCTGAGATCATGACCTGAGCCGAAATCAAGAGTCAGATGCTCAACCAACTGAGCCGCCCAGGCGTGTCCCCAGTTGCATTCTTTGCTCTATCCCCTGGGTGGCTCATGGAGGCGGTGCTCCTCCGAAGTCCTCTGTGCTTGGTGTGTGCTTGCATCTGCTTTCAGTCCATTTTTCTCTGTTGAGTACACTCTTGCTATCGTTTGTGTCCCTGTCTTCATCACACCTGCTCTCTCCTTCCTAGTGTGCCGTGTCTATTTCCTGTGGCCTCAGGCACCACAATTTAACTGGCTAGTTAGATTCTGTAGAGATCTATATTCTTGTATTTTGAGTGATCATCTAAAGTGCTGCCAGAGTGCGGAGAGCCAGAGCCTGAGTTCCGGGTCTGGCGATGTCTCTGCATGTGGGACGGAGGGAAGTATCTGGGTTTCCTGGATTCAGATTGTTGGGTTACTGTAGGTGATGGATGATGATCAGCACCACATTCTTCTTTTTCTGAGAATCAGCCTAGCGTACTCTCCCCGAAGTGGACGGGGCTTAGCTGTGAGCATGAGTTGTGTGTTTCATTTGTGATAACTTTGTTCTCTGAGGGGTGTTGAGCTGTGAGTGACCCAGAGCACCAGTGGGAGGAAGATCCGGTGATGTGACCACCACGGGGCTCAGAGGGTCTTCAGCCCGTTCTCCTGACACGGACTGTTCTGAGATGGGTGACTGGGCCTTAGGCTAGACACAGACGGCTGGCGCTCTTGACAGCAAGTGAGAGCACGGGGTGTGAAATCTTGCAGAAAGAGGGAAACAAAGTTAGGATGGGAGCGTTTGACTTGAGCGGCTGGTGGTGGCTGGTGTTGCAGCCCGGAGCACTTCCCTCCCAGAATGACCCTGTGGAAGCCAGGGAGTGTGGAGCTGGGTGCGGCCTCGTGGTGGAGAAGGGAGCACACGAGATCTGGTTTTGGAAATTGTGGGTGGGCTCCTAGACAGGCCCCTTCTCGAACAATTCCTTACTGAGTTGGTTATTATTATTTTTTTAGTGCTGTGAGTTGATGGGCTTGAATTGCAACTCGAAGGAACATTCGTTGCCTTAAAAGCCATATTGTGTTTTATGGTGGCTCAGGGAGGGAATGAAATAAAGGAAAATGTCAGTGCATTTGCTTGTTTAATGCCACTCAGAGCTGTGAACTATCATCCTGCTATCCCTCAAATATGCATGTTACTCCTGAAGCGGAGCAAAAGTGGTGTTTAATAATTGAGCTGAGCCATTTTATATCAATTTTCTCTCTTTAGGCTCAAAGTACTGACAAATAAAGCTTCTGTGATGCTCTTTATGAAAGGAAACAAACAGGTAAAGAACTCAAAAATGGTTTTATTTGTAATTTCTTTTGATGTTAACATCTGCAACAAGAGGACACTTAAATCTTTTTTCCTAGCCATGGCTAATGAAGCTGTAGTAGCATCAGGAAGTTATCCAGGCCTAATTGGTGCTTATGGAGATCAAACAAAGTAATCTACATTTTGCTTGACTTTATCATCAGCATCTCAGTGGGGTGCATTTCTTTCTGCTGCCAAACTTGGTCAACACTGTCACTCGGTCCTGGTTCTGTAAGTTGCTGTCCTGGCACCATTCCAGGCTGTGGGCTCATGTAGTGGGCAGCTTGGTCCAGATACTTCCCGAGTACGGGGAGCCTCGAAGCTCTTGCCCTTTAAGAAGTCAGCGACGGAGAAGTAAACCCCGCAGCATTGTGTGTGGTCAGTACCATTTGATGAATGGTGAAATGGTTTGGCAGTTCTTATTTATAATGGGGTGGTTCCTGTAGCTTTTTGGATGAAGGTACATATTGGTTGGGCATCATTTTGAATATCAAGTTTGATAGATCACTCCCACCAACAGCTTGAGCAATCATTTGTAAGGAAAATTAAAAGCCTTTACGAAGGATGATCATTTATATTTGGACCAGAACAGAGATCTCCAGACAGTGGGTTCTGTTACCTGTCTTTATTCTCAACCAGTTACGGAGGTGGGCAAGGGGGGACAGTGTGGTTGGTCTGTTTGGGAACAGGGGAGGCCAAAGCCCTGAGAGGTGAGGCTGATGGAACGGAGATGAGCATTTACATTCCCCCCGGGCCCTGGTGCTGCCCAGGCCTGTGGGCTGCCTGCTTAACCTCCCTGGCTTCACTGCCCCATGTGTGAATGGACGGTGCGCCTCATGAGTCATTGAGAATGAGGTTGTGATAACTAGTGTGAGAGTTAATATAACTGATATAGTGAAACCAACTAGTTAACTAGTCAGTGTAACTATTACAGTGAAGGTAATGACTAGGGAACTGGTAATAAAGGTTTCAGCATGCTGGGATCACTAGGTTAGGACCTAGATTCTTTGACTGGTTCACTAATTTTATTAAAACAAAATAGAGGAATTAATACTTCTTAGTAGGATAAAGTTATCTTTTTATGTTTTCTTGGTGATTATTTAAAGCAGATTTTTATTCTCAAAACACAGTTTTTTCTGGAAGCCCAGCCAGTATTGATACATCTTGGGAGCAGAATCATGTGTGCTGTTACGTTTGTGTGGTGCCTGGCCTTTCCCATGGGATTGCTGGGATTTGGGGCCTGACAAAAATGTGTCACAGTGCCATAACCTCAAAAAAAAGTTGGTGCTCTGTAATGTAAAGATAAATTTTAAAAAATGGGGGTGACCGTTTAGTTGGGAACAGGAAGATGGGATCCCAATCATTACAAAAAGGTTAGGTGAGTTGAGGTCATCTGTGAGAGTGAAATGGAGAAGGAACTGAATTTTGTGGAGCGCCGAGGTTCCACTCAGAGGAACGTTTGACCATAGAGCTTGTCAGGTTCCAGGACACGTGTCCTCTCTGGTGGTCAGAGCCTGAAGTGCACTGTGGCGGGTCCATGCCATCTCGGTGAGCGATGTTCCTTGGGACCATGCTGGGGGGCTGCGTAGAAAATGTAATACATCTTTACTCATTTCTTTTTTTCTTTTTATAAATTTAGGAAGCAAAATGTGGATTCAGCAAACAAATTCTGGAAATACTAAATAATACTGGGTACGTAAATCCTGATTTCAAATGGTGTGTTTAAGAAATTCCAACTCTTCAGTTCTGCCACTGATGCCTGTCTGTTGTTACATCTATATCCACATATTTTTATTTATTTTTGCTACAGTGTTTTGTGAATGCTTTAACTGAGACCACAACAGGATTTTCTGACCAGTGTCAACCGATTGGTAACATAAAGGAGCTTCTTAGAAGGCGATCATTAAAATAACTAGTTGTCTACTTTCCCAGAAGAAAGTCCTTAACTAAGATGCATTAAGATATTTTAAGGAAAGTGTATCAGAGGCTTTTAATTTTCCTTACAAAAATATTCTCATTTCTAAACAGTTTATGAAATGGCTAGAGCACATGTGAGGTCGTTATGTGCATCTGAGACGTGGGGGAAATTAAATGGCTGTGTTCATGCTTTTGATCTGCTCAGTGGCAACGCTGCCAGCTAAGAAAACTGCGTTGATTTTTCTGGTTAAAAACAAAACCACTTGGTTGGAGATACTTCACCCATGTTCTGTAGTTTATCAAATGTTTTGGCTTTTTTTTTTTTTTTTCTTATTTCTTATCTCACCAGAGCTTCTTTTTAATATTATAAGTATCCTAGCCATAGCTTTAAATAGATTAATGAAACCTATGAGGTTATGGGGAAGGTAATCTTTGAAATATTTAGATATTCATGGGCAGGGTTGAAAGTAGTTGAGTAGCACATGTTAAATACAACTCTAGGGACATAAAAAGCAAAATGATTGATTTCTTCAAAAGCAGATTGTGACATTTTACAGAGGAGAGTCTAGAGTCTTTTGTAGTCTGGTCTCCCGCCTGCCCCTTGCTCACCCTGCCCGAGGTTGTCTGAGGCCGGCTTGGTTCTGGTCGTCAGCTTTTATGGCCCCCTTTCCCCGTCTTCCTTCTGTGACAGCTCCTTGGCGTGGTATGCTCAGTCTGCCTGTCCCTCGTGACAGTGTGTCCCTCAGGGTGTCCCTCTGCAAGGTTGAGGACAGAACAGCACAGCATTGGGCCGTCTCAGCCTGTGTGTTTGGTGGAAGGTCTCCATAACGTTGCTTTCTGCCCCCATCTGTCTAATGCTGTTTGGATTTGCAAGTCCTGGTCATCCCAGAGCAGAGGGGCTTCTTTGGAAATGGAGCCCTCCCAGCTGCAGACTTGCGATGAGCGGGACTCTTTAGCTTGAACAGACTGTGATCTTGCTGAGAGCCATTAGTCTGTGGAGAAAAAACTGCTGGCTTTGTATTCCTGCCCCTCCACTCTTACACTTTCCTTCACTGGCCCAGCGACACATGCCTCGAGGGGCTGTGTGCCAAGTGTCCATTGAGGTGTGAATGGCCAATGCATCTCTTTACAAGAACTGCTCAGAGATGCATTGGCCATCGTGACTACATGGCACACCTACATATACTCAGGCCCAGGACATCCTAGGTCCCTCAGATGGCTCTGTAACTTACTATTTTTATCACACTGTTCAGATTAGGATCTGCCTCCTTTAGCTCACCTTGAAGGGAGACTTCCATTGGGTCTTTTTTTTTTTTTTTTTTCCCTTTCAGACATTCCTTTTTTGGTAGTTGGTGATTTATCCTGTCATCTTATTTTTTTTGACTGTTTTCTGCACCATGGACAATTTTCTTGGAAACTTGTTTACTAAGTGAACAAGATTTCCCTACGAAGATGGTTTTGGTTTTATGAAAACTGAAATTTATTTTTTACATGTGGCATTTTCTTTGGCCAGTTTTTGGGACTGCACCTATTCCACAGTCTCCCTGTGGGAATCAGTCCGACATTCATACTAATTCCTTGATCATACCTGATAGTGCCGTCCTTCCGAGTACCTGTGGTGGTTGGGTTTCCATGCAGTGATTTTGCATTCATTATACAAATGGTGTTCATTATACAGCATGCAGCCACACCACTCTCACTGGTTTATGCATACCGAGAACAGCACGTGTGCTTTGAAATCAGCTTGTTTTCATGTGGGGAAGCACAGCTCCGTGAGGTGGCATTTGTTGGCAGTGTAGTTGTCCTGCTAGTGAGCCTCCAGTCCAGCTGTGGGTGTCCCTGGGTGTCCCTGGGCCTCAGAGCTGCTCCCTCCTGCTCCCTGAGCAGTTTCTAGTAGGTCAGAGGCAGCAGCCCCAGGGATGAGGGCTGGAAACGCAGTATTAAGGATAGACTTGGGTGAACTTTGGATACAAGTCTAATCTGCGGGTTGGCACACTGCAGTTGGCCGCCGACTTCTGTAAATAAAGTTTTATTGGCACGCAGCCACGCCCACTCATGTCTGCCTTGTCAGGCTCCTTCTGTGCTGTGCAGCTGGGTAGAGCATCTGCAGCAGACCGTGGCCTACAGAGCCCACACGTTGACTGTCTTGCCCTTGAGACAAAGTTTGCTGACCCCTCTCTAACCCAATGTTGTCTAGAGAAAAATCCAGATAAATTTGTATCTTGGGCTGACTTGTTCTGTGGGGTACCTGACAGATTGAAACGTAAAGTCATTTCCATTTTTCATCGTCAGTGTCAGTAGCAACAAAACTGTTTACTTTTCTTGACTGTTTTTAAAACACCAAGTAGGTTTTACAATTTTTTGTTTAATAAAACTATTGCCTATTAAAATGTTTTCTCCTTTTTGTAGTGTTGAATACGAGACATTTGATATATTGGAGGATGAAGAAGTAAGTTCTGTATTTTATGTTTCTTGTCCTTTGCCTTAGTTTTACTCATTAGGGTCTTATAGTAAGGTTTCAGAGTTCCTGTTGTTTCTGTAGGTTCGGCAGGGGTTAAAAACTTATTCAAATTGGCCCACGTACCCTCAGCTGTATGTGAAAGGGGAGCTCATTGGAGGACTGGATATTGTTAAGGTAAGGTCGGAGTTCATCTGGTATCCTAAAGACGGAAAATGTTGGCATGTTTGAAAATTATCATTTTATATTGAACAGTAACTATGTGGCTTCTTTGAGTGCTTTCCTTCCTGGCCTCCTGTCCAGTCACTTCTGACCTTGCGTTGCCATTTCTGTCTGTAGTACCGTGTTCTCTCACTGCCCCTGGTGGATCAGACTGTTCTCACCCCTTCCCTGAGCCAGTCAGATCATCCCCCTACTGTGGGGCCTTCTGCATGACCTCCTTCATCTCCGGAGGGACTGCCCACTAAGGGCCAAACTGTAACTTGGCATTCTGAGATGCTCTGATTATGGCCAAACTCAAAATTTGATTTTTACTCCCACTTTGCTAAGTCTTCCATGTTTTTAGCTTTTCTTTCCTCATCCGTTCTGCTTTGGATAGCTGGCATGTTCCATACTTACGTTTTCTGCGTCCTTCAGGGCCCCTCTTGTTTCTGAATCATTTATAGAAATGTTTTGCTCCTGCTCCTGAAGTTCTTCTGTCCTTTTAAATTTATATTGTATTATTTCTCGTGTTCTTTGATTTTGCCTGTGTGCACTTGCGTGATGGAATGGAGAGGACCAGGCCGGGGGCAGGCCTGACACCCAGTGCTGCCTGGCCTGCCAGCTATGTGACAGACCTGAGCCCACGGGCCCCGGTCCCACAGAACAGTGTGAGACTGCGGTGGGCCATCTGCAGGTCCACCTCTGGTCTCAGATGCTGCAGCTTGGTTAGGTCTGTCAGATTGTAAGCATGTTTGGAGAATACATCTTTGATGATTAGCGTACTTCTTTGGTTTACTTTCCATAAACTCTCAGTGACTTTTCAGCGGGCATGACTTTTCTCTGGGCACGCCCGCCCGATACCACCATGGCTCTCTTTCTTAGCCACTCCCTCCAAGCCTCCAGCCCAGGCGGGCATCCTGGTGTTGGAGGAGGGGGCAGTGGGCGGGGCCAGGACGGGGCCTGAGGAGGAATGCCAGGCTCCACTCGGGAAGCTCGGGCCTCCACGGAAGGTGGGGCTGCTCCAGTGTCGGCCGGCCTTCGTCTTGCCTTGCCGCTTGGAGAACTTTCTCCGAGGGCAGATGTCTGACTTCATAAGTGGAAAGCAAGTAGTAAGTAGCGCTGCTTCTACTTATGTTTTAAAGTAAGTTTTAGCTTCTATTTTCATATCGTGAGATGACTCAAGCCCAGTGCTGAGCGACCCCAGCTCTGTGGGCCGGACGTCTCATCGGCACTGGCACGAGCGCCATTCCCTGCAGAGGCTGCTCATCGGCTGTTCCCCCACGCAGCTCAGCTGCCGCAGCATTCCCTGTTTGACTTCACACTTCTCAGGACGGGGAGAGGCAGTTTTCCTCGTAAAGTGTCTCATTCCTGGAGGAGAAAACAAGGTTTCACATAGTAGCTCTTGAATAGCCTGGAAGCAACAAAAATACACCTGCACTTGTTGTGTTATATATACTTTTTATTTGTTTAAGACCCAAGCAGTCTTCAAACCCCAAATACTCCTGAGCCTGTATTGTGTGAGTGTTTTATAGCCTGTAGCGGTGGGCCATCGCTGACTCTGGGGAGATAACAATCAGTCAGTCTCGTTTAATTCTAAAGCTGAGCTTCACAGGCAGCTTCGTTGTAGGTCTGTAACGGGATGTTAGAGGACTCTTGTTCACCTGCTAAAAACACGCATTTGGGAAGGTGTGATGCTGGTAACATTTTCCCCCAAGAAGATAGCCGGGGACAGTTAGGTTGCCACTTTGGTCTGTTTCCTGCAGAGTTCAGTTCTTCATCTTTAGTTCACTGGAAACATAAGTGATGTTCCACTTGAGTTAATTCTGGCTGGCCTTTAAGAGCACTGAGAGCCTTTTTTGTTGAATGGTTGAATAAAGGAGTTACCCAGTGATTCAACGACTCAGTCAGTCTAGTGACCTGAGAAGAACGGCAGCTAATTTGTAGTAGTCAGTGCCTGCTTCAACCCTGCAGACTGTTCAGAGAGTGGGAATGTTTAGTTCAGGTCAGCTCATGCTAGTGCTGGTGACGAGGGTCCCACCGCGTGCCAGCCACACTGCCCGAGTGCTTAGGCCATCCTCACATCACCCTGAGATGAGGGGACACAGACGGAGAGAAGTCAGGTGAGCACATTGCTGCTTTCTTCCACGTTTCCGTTTGCCCACGTTACTCACAGTTGTCCCCCCTGTTTATTGCTGTTTAGACAGGAGGCTGTAATTGTTGTGTGCGTTAATGCTGAACAGTCTTGGTTTCTGAATGCCTTTTAACTTCAATTTTGTAATCTGATAGTGCGCTCCGTTTTTATGGCGTGATATTTGGTTTCAGTGTATTGGTAGACTGGAGTTTTATTCCAGTCCAGTATTTCTTCTGGTTCTTGGATTCGGGTGCAATCTGGGATGGTTCGGAGGTTTCTGTTTTTCATCTCTATGCATACATGTTATTTTTGCTTTCTGTTTTCGTTGTTAGGAACTGAGAGACAACGGTGAGCTGCTGCCAGTGCTGAAAGGAGAGAACTAGGGACTGTTACACTCGGTGCCTGACTGCTGCAGGAAACCTTCGTCACAGCGGGGCGGCTCACGACTCCTTTCTCAGACTGCTGCGCACCCAGTTAGGCTCGGTGTATCCCACCAGCTCGTGCTAAATAAATACATGTATGTTTTGTTTGTTTTTCATCAAACCAGTATGCAATAAACATCTTCAAATCCGATTAAAAATACTTGTGTAAAACTGTCTTTTTTATAGTGATGTTAAATATATAGTAATTAACCTACTTTAAATTTCTTTTTCATACTCTGTGGGCACCTTGTAGCAGCTAAGAAATAGGCAGGCTTCAGAAGACGCAGAAGGTTGATGGCGTCGGAAATCCACAGTCATATTTAGAACAGCTCATATACCAAACCAGTGGCTCCCCTCAATGGCCAAAGATCTCTTTACAGCTTGGAAAAATTCAACTGAAAATGTGTTCCTGACCGCATCCCTGCGCATGGCTCCGGTGAGATTGCAGAGGCGACGTAGGGCTCAGCAGATTCGGAAACTCGTTTCAGAAGGTACCAGGGGCGTGTTAGCAAGCGGCAGCTCAGAGGAAGATGGGCTCTCCTGAGTGTGTTCCTGCCCTCACGCTCTTCACGACAGGGAGAAGAACCGGGCATGAGGGTGCTGTCAGTGTGTTACGCACCACAACTTAATCATTCTATCAAAAGCGCTGATTTAGCCCTTACATAGGCTGAGAACATCCTGAGGTCCATGAGAATTTCAACAGTAGTTTAGATCCCGAATCTCACACGTTTAAAAAATAGTTGCCCCATTAGGCCTTTGTTGGGTGCACTTTAAGCCGGTGGCTGAATTCGCCTCCACGGTTCTTAGACTTCAGTGCCCATGACACATGTCCCCCTCATTAGGTTCTCCCAGCTTGTCAGTCTGGGCGGTTGAGGCTCCACAGAAGTGTCTGGCAGTAGAGTAAGGAACGGGGTGCAAAAGTCAGCAGTTCCCATGAGAAACCAGAGGGAAGTTAGCCTCTCACTGGGGCTCGAGCACCCGGCTGTCCCCTTGCTTCGTTTGATTGTGTGCAGGAGGATGCTGACTTCTGTTGTGTGTATGTGACCGAGGGCAGTCTGCACAAAACCCGAAAGCTGACATGGCCTCATGCTTCCTGTAGGAGGACAACACCTGTCATGGGGGCTTTCCTTGCCAGTGTGTGTAATTAGATGGGTCTCCTTTGGGCACTGGTCCGTGAATTTCTTTTTTCCATTTAAAACAAATCATTGCTTAAGTGAAACCTTTAAAATGTATATGGAAATGGAATCGTAACAAACTCTAGTAAGTCACTGACAGATGCTGTGAACCACAGAGGAGGAGTTCGTAATTTTCTTGTATCCTGTGTCCCACACTGAAAGCATTGCATTGTGCTTTCGTGATTTGTGCTCCGTCTCCCAAGTGCCACCTGTCAACAAGCCAGCTTTTAGCTTCACCTTATCTTAAGCAACAATATCTTTATCATTGCAGATTTGATAAACTAGTTTTTTTCCTTATGCACATTTAAATAAACACGATGCATACATTTTAACAAATGCCCATCTCCAATTTGGGAACTACTGTTCTGGTCTAGGGTGGTGGTTCTGATAACATAAATGCTTGCACATTGTAGGATGGCTTTCCCTTCCCGTGGGTGCCTTGCAATGATGTGAAACTTTGGTGGTGTCATCCTTGAGTATCACAGGTTGAGTTAGGGTGAGTGTTCAGAGTTTTCGGGGAGTTGTCACTTGGTTAAACTCTGTAAATGGTTGGCTCCGGGAGTGTTGGGAGTGGCAGGGGTGCATATTTCTGTCTAACAGGTGTTTCCAGCTAGACATTGGGAAGGTCAGAGATCTCGTTCATGCAAACTGATTTATAGCTATTCCTAACCTGATTTTATTAGGTATATTTTAGGAGCAAGGCAAGCGATTCTGGGGCCCAACCGAACTTCAAGTTCCGCAGGCAATCCCAGATCCAGTATTCTAATAAAAATGGAGCCTACCCTTGTAGTAATGTTTTGTTAAAATTGAAATCCTCTCTCTTTCCCATCTACAAATCCTAGAGAAAGTTGTTCCTAGTGCTTGAGAGACCGTTGAGCCCCCAAAGTAAGGTGACCGTGTCATTGGGATGTTGCCCTGTCCAAGCTTTGTTGGGAGCTTGTGGTGGGAGAGACTCCAGGTAGGTGCTGTGGGAGGGTTTTAGTGAGTTTGGATGTTTTGGAGGAGTAGGGGTGTGCGTCTGGGTAGCAGGGTCCTCTGCACATCCCAGCTCTACCTGTTAAGCTGCCTCCCTGTGCTTGAGTTTCCTTATAAAATGGAGCTCATCTTGGGGCCCTGACGGGCTGTGACAGGCGGTTAAATCTGCAGGGTGCAAGGGGTAGCTGGGGTGACTGGCCTGTTAGCCCCATCCTCAGGATTGCATGTCCAGAAAGGCCTGGAGGAAGGGCAGGTAACTCCTCTTGTCCAGGCTGGAGGTAACTTCAAGGGAAGAGTTCTTAGGGACTTGGCATCCACCTGGGGAGATAAGCCTGGAGGAAGGGACTCCCCCCCCCCCCATTTTTTAAGCTCTGATTTTGTTTCATAACCAAAAATGGGGAAAAATAAACGAGAGGAGTTGGGAATTCTGTGCAGGGAGGAATGCAGGAAGGTCCAAACTTGCTCAAGGGTGTAGCCGTAGGGTTGGAGCTGGGGTCCCCCTCCAGGATTGTGTGTTTCCCCAAGGCTTCTGAAGCCCACTGCTGCCATGAGGCCTCCCCAGTGAGGGTGTGCAATTAAATTGCCTTTATGTGCCTGGGAGGAATGCTGGCTGCTCTCACTGGAGCTGCCCTTCTGCTGGGTAATCCTCCTTGCTGCACCGAGCGACTCTAAGTCTGAACACTGACTTGAAGGAGGCCTAGTAGGCAAATGTGTTGAAAGTTGCTATAATAATGTAAATGTACCTTGTGAAGAGAACAGGATGGAGGGTTGGCTCTGCCCACGTGGCAGCTTAGGCGTTTTCGTGTCATGTGGGACAGCTGAGCCTTGCGGAGTCAGGAACCCAAGGCCCCATCCATCTTGACTGACGGCTGACTTGCTCAAGAAGGATGAAAACAGTGGTTTTCCATTTTCAATAAATCTAATTGAGGAGTTGGGAAATTGAGATGGATTTTTTTATCTATATTTTTTATTTGAGACTGATTTTTAAAAGTAGCATGTTTTTATAAATAGAAAAATCTCGTAACTTAAAACTGCACTGTAGTCATGAAAAGTCTAATTGATCAGTAAAACAACTGCGGTACATTTGAAGGGCCTGACTTAGGTCATCATCCCTTGTCTCCCTGGAAAGCATCATACAGACTGACCTGGCCTGTGGTCAGAGGAGAAGTTAAAAGCTTAAGACTGAAATATGAAACACGATTCTGATTTAATTTTTAATTAAAATCCGTTTTCTTAAATTTGACAATTGGTAATTGTTACCAAAATACAAACTTTTTTTTTTCTAAGGAAAAGTAATTTGGTTCTTTGCAGATAAATTCATTTTTTTATACCTGTTTCAGATGTTGGGTTCTGGGAATGGACAGAAGTTGAAATAACTTACCGATGCGCCTGTTTTGGGGTAGTTCCAAAGACAAGGTTTCATAACTGGTATCCCCACCCTGGTTCAGAATCTTGGCTTCCCTCCTCCCCCGCCGTGGAGCTTTGTCTGCTACCTACAGATGTTCAGATTCAAAGGACCTCAGGGACAGGGAGGCACCCAACCAGGAGGGTGACCGGGGACGCCTGTGTGCTGGGGGTGTGCCTGGGCTTCCCGCGTGCTGGCTCATCTCGGGCTGAGCATCTTTTGTGGAAGGACTCCTGTGTGTTTATGTTACTGCAAGCTTCCAGGGCCAGGAGCTAGAATGTGAGCCAGGACCCTGATCCCAGCCCCGAGGCTGTGCTTTGAGCAGGCCACACGTCACAGGAGGCCACGTCAGCGAGTCTCCTTGCAGAAGTCTGGCTTCTGAAATGACATAGCAGTTTTACATCCACTTTAGGAGGATTGTGGCTTTTTAAAAATTGTCAGGACTCAGCAAATTGTGACCGTAAAAGGCTTCTATACCCCCATACCTTTGTCTAAATGGTTATCACTTGTAGATCATATTAATCTTTCCTTGAAACACCGATTTTTATCTGAGGAAGTTACAAGTCTCCCATAGGAACTCCTCCAGGGAGAGCCTGCTCTTTCCGGGGGTCACCAGGGGGACGCCTGCCTTGTGGTCCTGGTAAGGGTTCCTCTGGGAGCATGTGTTCCCCTCAGACAACAGTGTAGCCTCTCAACAAGGCCTTGGACCTGGATGTGGACATCTGTTCAGCAAGAAGGGACACATGGTATTTTTACAGGAGTTAAATTTACTGTTTTATACTATTGTTCTGTGTGTTGTGTTTTACAAAAAGGACCATGACATAATGAAACAGGGAAGGAGGTTGCATATTCTCAAAGAGCCCCTCCCTCCTGAACGAGAGCTGGAGGTGGTTGCCCTTGGGCACAGTGTGGGGGTTTCCAGGTCAGCCTCTGTGCCAAACAACCTGGCCCTCCGTTCCCAAGAGAGCACATTGCTGTTGAGTAAGAGAATGCTCTCCAAGGCGTGGCCTGCCCCTGGGAAGGAGCCTGCTGCATCACTTGGGTGGGGCCTGAGCGCTGGGCCAGCTGCGTAATTCCCAGAGCCCCCTGCAGAATGAAAACTTGGGACCCTCGTTCAAAAAGCAGGAAAGGGGCGCCTGGTTGGTTATGTGGCTGCCTTCAGCTCAGGTCATGATCTCAGGGTCCTGGGATTGAGCCCCTCCCCCTTAGGCAGGGCTCAGCAGGGAGTAGGCTTCTCCCTCTGCCCCTCCCCCTGCTTGTGCTCTCACTCTCTCTTAAATAAATAAAATCTTAAAAAATAAAACAAACCTAAAATAAAAAGCAGGAAAAAAGTGCCCTTAGAGGTGCTAAAATATAAAGCGTTTTTAGTTTTTAAAATTTGCAATTTAACATTCTAAGTAAAGTTAAAAATTATTAGCAAGAATCCATTTTTCTTTATATCATGCAATGGTGCTTTTAGATGCAAATGCAGGAGCATTTGACATGTACGGGGCGTATACCTGACATCACGGTTTGTTTCCCATAGCTCATGCATGCGTGTGTGTTGTTACTAGAATGTTGGAAATGCTGCATGGTACCAAACTTTCTATTTCACTTCTTGATT